GTTTAGAGTAAGTTTAAAGTTTAGAGTAACTTATTGAAAATGCAACTGTATGAATGACAGAGTGAAACCTTATTATAAGGCAAACTTGATACCTCACTGGTGATGGGCAAGGGCATCTAGCGAACTTGAAAATACTATGTTGGTTGTTCCACTCAAGTCTGCTCTATATTTGCCACAGTGGTGAAAGCTAAGAATTTGGATCACAAAAGTGAGAGGAGCCGGGCTCGGTGGCTCAGCCTGTAATCCCAGCACTTTGGGAGGCTGAGGTGAGTGGATTGCCTGAGCCCGCGGGTGCGAGACCCGCCTGGGCAGCGAGACCTCATCTCTACAATAAATCAAAAAAAATCAGTCGAGCATGGTAGCGCATGCCTGTAATTCTGGCTACCGGGAAGGCTGAGGCGGAAGGATCGCCGGAGCCAAGCAGGTCAAGGCTGCGGTGGCCGGGAGCAGCCACTGCACTCCAGTCTGGGTGACAGAGTGAGACTCCAACTCAAAAAAAAAGTGAGAGGAAGTCACCTTTTCTGACTTGCTTTTCCTGGCTTGTTAATTTTACAGGTGAAAGTGTGGTTTTCACCACTAAAGTGAAAACAGACATTGGCTCTTCTTGAGCATCTGTTAAATATAAATTTTGATTTGTTTGCATGTAGATAGGGTGATGAGCTCAAAATCAATTCAGTTCTAGTTCTACATAGACTTCATTTTATTTCCTGTATCCTTTTAATGTCGGTCTGTTGGGACAATTTGACATTTCACTGAACTATGTGATCAAAATGGGTAAGGAATGAATGATTCCCCACAGTCCTTTTCAGCTGTTGACTTCGCAGAAGGAGGTGTGGTTATTGACTCCAGGGAGGGAGTAGAGATGCACATATGTGTGCAGGTGCTTGTGCAGCGTGCTTGAGCTAAGGATGGTCTTAAATACAGCATCCTTGTGCTTGGAAAATGCTCATCTTAAAAACAAAAGACGAGCCGGGCTCGGTGGCTCAGCCTGTAATCCCGTGCCTTTGGGAGGCTGAGGTGAGTGGATTGCCTGAGCCCACGTGTTCGAGACCTGCTTGGGCAGTGAGACCTCATCTCTACAATAAAATCAGCCGGGTGTGGTAGCGCATGCCTGTAATTCCGGCTACTGGGAAGGCTGAAGCGGAAGGATCGCCGGAGCCCAGCAGGTCGAGGTTGCAGTGGCCGGGAGCAGCCTGTGCACTTCAGTCTGGGCGACAGAGTGAGACTCCAACTCAAAAAAAAAAAGCAAAAGACGCCGGGCTCGGTGGCTCTGTAATCCCGTGCCTCGGGAGGCTGAGGTGAGTGGATTACCTGAACCCGCGGGTTCGAGACCCGCCTGGGCAACTTGGTGAGACCTCATCTCTACAATAAATCAAAAACTAGCTGGGCGTGGTAGCGCGCGCCTGTAGTTCCAGCTACCTGGAAGGCTGAGGTGGAAGGATCGCCGGAGCCCAGCAGCTCGAGGCTGCGGTGGCTGGGAGCGGCCACTGCAACTCCAGTCTGGGCGACAGAGTGAGACTCCAACTTACAAAATAAATAAATAAATAAATAAATAAATAATAAAAATTAAAAATAAAAAAGGAAAAGACAACTTCCTGCATCCTTCATAAGAACATTGGAGATCATTTGGTGAATTGTAGACATTTTTACTATAGCTGATACAGTTTTTACAGTGATTTTCTGGGTTTAAGTAGTGTTGGACAATTCATTTTATTTATAAATTGGGCTTTGGTTGACAAGATGGAAAAAGCAGAATCTAAACATAGGGTAATTTTAGCACCCCTTTATTTTATTTATTTATTTATTTGAGTTGGGGGTCTTACTATCACCCAGGATGGAAGGCAGTGGTACAATCACAGCTAACCAAAACCTTGACCTTTTGGGCTCAGGTGATCCTCTCACCTCAGCCTCCCAAGTAACTGGGACTATAGGCAAGTGCCAACACACCTGGCTAATTTTTTTGTGTGTGTGTGGAGACAAGGTCTTGTTATATTGCCCAGGCTAGTCGCAAACTCCTGGCCTCAAGCAGTCCTCCTGCCTCAGCCTCCCGAAGTGCTGGGATTATAAGCATGAGCCACCATGCCCGACTCCTTTATTCTTGATATCTCATGAAAACTGGAATTTTTCGTGTTTTATTTTTTTAGTAAGCTAAAAATGTTGGCCTGTGAGGTACTAGTCATTTTATTCTACCCTATAATAAAGTCTGTCTCCGTTTTGTAGTAGTCACCAAGTTATGTGATCAGTTTTATTCAGATCCTAAAATTCCATGTCAACAGGGAATGAGTATATTGAGGAGAAAGTTTCTTTTCAGCCTTTTTTATTCTCAATCCTAGCTGTGCCTAGGTTTTTTATTCAAACTAACAATAGTTAGTTAATAATGATGAGAGGTAGAGTTGCAGAAAAGTTAACACGAGTACTATGATGTTTATCTGCATCAAACTAGAGCTGAAATTCTATGGATGATGAGAGACACTGGCTTGCAATCTTTTTCCTTTTTTACAAAGATAAAAGGGGCCATGTTCTTTAAGAAGTTGGTAGGTTAACATAACCACCTACCCACATGGTTTAATGCCAAGACCGAACCTGTGGAAGCTGCTCCTGATGTTGGTGGTTTTTCTCCCACTTTAGGTGATTTTATATACAGAGCTTTCTTTTTTTTTTTTGAGTTGGAGTCTCACTCTGTCGCCCAGACTGGGGTGCAGTGGCCGCTCCCGGCCACCGCAGCCTCAACCCGCTGGGCTCCGGCGATCCTTCCACCTCAGCCTTCCGAGTAGCCAGAATTACAGGCATGCGCTACCACGCCCAGCTGAATTTTTTATTTATTGTAGAGATGAGGTCTCGCCAAGTTGCCCAGGCGGGTCTCAAACCTGCGGTAGAGCCTTCTTGACTTGCTCAAATTCAAGAAATTCCCTGTTTCTGGGATTTAATAGATATGTATCAGGAAATACATATCTATTGAAGTTTGCAGTAAAATAGTGCTGAATTTGAACTCAGCTAATTTGCTAATATACAGAGAAAAGCATCTGTTCTCTGAAGTATTCATTGCCTATAGAAGGATCAGTTAAATTGTTTTGTTTGTTTGTTTGTTTGGAGTCAGGGTCTCACTCTATCACCCAGGCTGAAGTGCAGTGGCATACTTACAGCCACCGCAGTCTCTGCCTGCTGGGTTCAGGTGATCCTTCTACCTGTCTTCCAAGTAGCTGAGACTACAAGCACGTGCCACCAGGCTTTTATTTATTATAGAGACGAGGTCTTGCCAACTTGCCCAGGCTGGTCTCAAACCCCTGGGCTCAGGCAATCCTCTCGTCTCAGCCTCCCAAATTGCTGGAACTACAGGCATGAGTCACCATGCCTGGCTTAAATTGTTATCTGGTTGTAATCAGAATCACTAAATAATATAATTACCCTGAATTTTATTCTCTTTTGCTTCCTCACTACTCACTTAATAATAAGTATTTCTGAATAATGAAAAGCTTTCAAAACAAAGAATACCTAGCCTAGCCTATTCTGAAATAGTCTTTGTTTCTCCAGTTTACTAATCTCCTTTGAGGGTGAATTCTGTTTCCTGTCTTTGTAATCTCATGGCCTTTTCCAGATGCAGATTTTGTTGTTTTTGTTTTGTTTGAGTTGGAGTCTCACTTCATCGCCCAGGCTGGAGTGCTGTGTCACACTCACTGCCACCCCAGCATCGACTTACTGGGCTCTGGCCATCCTTCCACTTCAGCCTTCCAAGTAGCCAGAACTACAGGCATGTGCTACCGTACCCAGCTAACTTTTGATTTATTGTAGAGACAAGGTCTTGCCAAGTTGCCCGGGCTGGTCGCGAACCTGCAGGCCCAGGCAGTCTACTCACTTCGGCATCCCAAAGTGCTGGGATTATAGGCTGAGCCACTGAACCTGGCCTTGTTTTGTTTTGTTTTGTTTTTTTGAGTTGGAGTCTTATTGCATCGCCCAGGCTGGAGTACAGTGGCATGCTCATGGCCACCCCGGTGTCAACCAGCTGGGCTCAGTCAATCCTTCTGCCTCAGCCGATCCTTCTGCCTCAGCCTTCCAAGTAGCTGGAACAACAGGCATGTGCTACCACGCCTGGCTAATTTTTTTTAAGTTTATTGTAGAGATGAGGTCTTGTCAAGTTGTCCAGGCTGTTCTCGAACCCATGGGCTCAGGCAATCTTCTCACCTCGGCTACCTAAAACACTGGGATTACAGGCTTGAGCCATTACGCCCAGCCCAGATGCAGATTCTGTAGTGAGAAGATAGGCCTCTGGGCCAGTTAAATCAGGAAAAGATGATGAGTGTGTAGTTATTGAGGAAAATGATTATGTTAGTAGTGCAGTTAATAAGGCTACACTGTCAAAATAAGGTGACTTTGGTGAAAATGAAGTAAGGCCCTCTGTTGACCTGGCAGCCTTCCCCATTTATTGTCCTGTGAGTGGCATTTCTTCTGCATGTCTCTGTCAATTGCAGCCACCGTGGGGTTGTCTGTTCTGCTTGGCATTGCAGTGCAGCCTCTCTGTGCTGGCAGGACCTCTCGTGCTCTGCTGCTCTGCCTTTCTACCTGTGCTGTGCACTGTGGTGGCTGCTGAGTTGTGAAATAGGGCTAGTTTCATCTAAGAAGAGCTGTGTGTGTAAAACACACTAACTAGCAAAGACTTGATAAGAAACAAGCGAAAAACATCTCATTAATAAATTTTTATATTAGTTATGTGTGGAAATGATAATATTTGGGGTATATTGTATAGAATCTATTAATTTCACCTGTTTTTACTTTTTAATATAGCTACAAGAAAATTTAAAGTGACACATATGGCTTGCTTTTTATTTCTGTTGGCCAGCGCTGTTCTGTTTCTGAGAGACCCTGGATTCATTGAGGAGGAATCTGAGATTTGTTTGTTTTTGTCTGAACAGTGGTTTTGCCGCTTCCAGAAAATGGGATTGTGATTACTTCTATCGAGTGATACACGAATGACTGGGACCTTGTGATTTGTTTTGTTTTGCTAGTGATGATGGCCAAAGAGAAGCCACCAATAACTGTAGTCGGAGATGTCGGAGGCCGCATCGCGATCATAGTGGTATGGCATCACCCTTTGTGTACAAAGACGGCACTCCTGGCTCTTCATCAGTAGCTTGTCCACTCTGGGTTGTATTTCCAGTCGTGAGAACAGATTTAAATGACTCGATCTGTCCTTTCTTGCCCAAACTCCCTTAGGACAAGAAGCAGGAATCTTTCTATAGATAAATGGGACCAAAGTGTAACCTACAGATTTGAAGTGAGCACAGTGCCTCCCATGAGAATATGGAGCACCATAACCTTCATCTTACAGCTTCTCGGTTCCCTCACACCCGCTCGCCTAATCATCCTTAGACTTTAGGGCAGTGAGAGGAACTGAAGATGAGCTGTTCCATCTTCACTGCTAAGAACAAGTGTCCTGGGCAGACTCGTTTTGCATTTTGACATATGTTTGCTCCTAGCTCTAAATATCTTAGCTGGCTAGAGAGTCATCAATCCTTCCCAGTAGCTCACTTTATTTCAATTTTCCTCCCATGTCACTTTCTGCTGGAAAAGGATAAATGGGCACTGGGTATACGGGATTAATCAGAAATTTGGAAAGGGAACTGAGTCCTGGCAATCCCAAACTCTAGCTGTAACATCACATATACTTGACAGCTTTTTGCTCTGACAGATAAACAAGGTGCTGTCAAGGCACTTCTTTTGCCATTTCTGAGTGTTCAGTCTTTGATCCAGGCACATAGCTCTGATTTTCCATCAGAAATCCTCTGAAACTGAGTGCAGAGAAGTATGTCTTCCTAGACCAGGCTGGAGGATGTTTCTTTCCTACTCATTCTGTTCTCCTTCAGGATGACATAATTGACGATGTGGAGAGTTTTGTTGCTGCCGCAGAGATCCTGAAGGAAAGAGGTGCTTACAAGATCTATGTCATGGCCACCCATGGCATCCTGTCTGCAGAAGCCCCCCGTCTGATTGAGGAGTCCTCCATTGACGAGGTCTGTTGCTTCTAAAGGGCTTGAAACAGTCTGCTGAGTCAAGATGTGCTGCTGTGTCTTCCCAGAATAATAAAATGACTCAGTCATTATTAAATTGCTTAATCTCTCTATAGAGTGCCTGTGAAATAGTGCTTTTGATGCTAGCAGTTGGTTGGGGCAGATGTATATTTAGGAATTCAGACAGTACCCCACTTCCAGTAGTTTTTTTTTTTCTTTTTGAGTTGGAGTCTCACTGTCGCCCAGACTGGAGTGCAGTGGCCGCTCCCGGCCACCGCAGCCTTGACCTGCTGGGCTCCAGTGATCCTTCCACCTCAGCCTTCCAAGTAGCTGGAACTACAGGCACACGCTACCACGCCCGGCTAATTTTTTTGATTTATTGTAGGGATGAGGTCTCGCCTGCCCAGGCGGGTCTTGAACCCGCAGGCTCAGGCAATCCACTCACCTCAGCCTCCCAAAGGCGCGGGATTACAAACTGAGCCACCGAGCCCGGTTTACTTCCAGTAGTTTGACTTCAGGATTTTTTGACTTTATCATGGCACAAAACCATCACAACTTTGATACAATGTATAGTATTTGATACATTACATGAGATATTCAACACTGTATTATAAAACAGACTTGGCATTAGATGATTTTGTCAACTCTAGTCCAATGTAAGTGTTCTGAACATGCTGAAGCTAGGCTAGGCTAAGCCATGATGCTTGGTGGGTTAAGTGTTAATGCATTTTCAACTTACAGTATTTTCAATTTATGATGATTTATCTGGACATAACCCTTCATAAGTTGAGGAGCATCAGTATATGTCTTTGCATAAGATTTGCTTTGATGCTTGAATATAATTTGATACTCTAGTAGCATTTCTCTTGAAACCTGAATTCTTCCTGATGATATGAAAGTTTTGCATAGTGCTGGGACTCACTGTATTTCTGCATGTAGACCATGACGTCCATAGGACTTTAGTCTTATGTTCTGAGCCATGTAACTTTTCCCTTGCATAAATTTGGTTAATTTTAGTTTATAAAAACTATACTCAGTGGAACAAAGTTTTGTAATTTGGAACTTAGCCTGTGGGTACTAAATTTTAGATAAGCTTTTCTGAGTAACCAGCTTGGGGCACACATCAGTAACTGTGCTCATTTTCTATTGCTGTATGACTAGGTGGTGGTGACGAATACTGTCCCGCATGAGGTACAGAAGCTGCAGTGTCCCAAGATAAAGACTGTGGATATCAGTTTAATTCTTTCGGAAGCAATTCGGAGAATCCACAACGGAGAGTCCATGGCCTACCTTTTCCGAAACATCACTGTGGATGACTAGTTTCACATTTGCCTTGACCCTGGAACTCCTAAGACAACATGAAAAAGCAGTGCCATCAATTATGTACACAGTGCTTCCTTGCAGGGAGGACTGAAATATTCTGGAGTTAGATATTCTGTCTCACCAGGATTGGTGGGTAGGAGGCATTAAGGTGATCAAGAAGAACTGATGGGATAAATAACATGGCCTTAAATGTCTGCCATCATTAGCCCTGTTGCATAAACAAAGGTAGAAATGCTTTCCTGAAAAGAATCTGAAAGTCTTGTTGGCATTGAAGATAAGTGAAAGGCAGATCAAGCCTTAACTCTCTAATGTGCATTCAGTTGTTTCAGTTCCAAGGACCTGTAGGTGTTTATGTTGAGCTTGGTTAGGGAAGCCGAGTGCCTGACACTGTTTCTGTCCACTTGTCCTCTCCCAGTCACCTTCAAGTCTTATTATAGAGAATCATATTTTTCTTTCAGAAACTGCTGTGCTTTAGCCACTGAACAACGAAGCATTTGTGTTGTTACTCCTCTCAAGGATGTCAGCTTAGAAAATAGCATCCCACCTCTGTGTACCCGTGTGGCTCTCATGTTGCGAATAAAAGAATTCGTTGTCTCGCTGGTCTCTTTGCTATACTGCAGAGTGACCTGCTCCTCTGCTTGGATGGTGACTGACTTCTGTCCAGACTGTATAAAGAAAGAGTAGTTAGGACATGGCTGGTTACAAACCCTAGACCCTAAATCTTAATCTTCTTCTCCAGGTTCCAGCCCCTTCCTAAGCATTAAAGTTAAGTCCTTGTTGAATAATACATTTAAAATATAAATTTTAAGAAAGAACAGATTGTTCTTTTTCCTGTGTGACAGGTGACACGGTTATTGCATTACTGCACTTGGTCCTTCTGCATTCCAACACTTTAACTTTCATCATCACAGTTCTAGTTTATACCACCTTTATCAAGGAGACCTTTCTGCAAGTGCGGAATCACTTTTTGTGCTTTTGGGCCTGATCCAAGTCAGGACTAAATGTCATAGGAAGACAGGGTGTCTGCTGCGAAATGAACTGGATAACTGATTGGTTCTGCTAGCTCCTGAGAGAGAAAGGATTTTTTTATTTGTGCAGTTGTTACTTCTCTGTGGGGAAGTGTCCTTGAGGTTTTTTTTTTGTTTTTTTGTTTTGAGTTGGAGTCTGTTGCCCAGACTGGAGTACAGTGGCATGCTCCTGGCCACCGCAGCCTCGGCCTGCTGGGCTCTGGTGATACTTCTGCCTCAGCCTTCCAAGTAGCTGGAAGTACAGGCGTGCAATACCGTGCCCAGCTGATTTTTGGTTTATTGTAGCGATGAGGTCTCGCCAAGTTGCCCGAGTGGGTCTCGAACCTGTGGGCTCAGGCAATCCACCTGCCTCGGCCTCCCACAGTGCTAGGATTACAGGCTGAGCCACTGAGCCCGGTCTCCTTGAGTTTTTTATCCTTTTCCTAGTGGGAAGAAAAGCTCCTAACCTTCAATCAAGACTTTGAGCACATTCGCTTTTTCAAGCACACAAATAAGTTACCTTCTGTTAATAGTCCCAGTAGAGGAATTTGAGCATAGAACTCTCAAATATGAGTGTGGTGGTAGAGGAAGAGCTGGAGGTTATTGGTCAGGAGCCTGGTTCTTGAGGTAACGTCAGACAGATGACTAGTCCTGGGCCTCCGTCGTCAGTTGTGAAAAAGGAGGTTTGGGGTTAGAAACAAGTTTTTTCAATTCTAAAATTCCATTTAACGTTTTCTTTCCTACATCTCTGAGGGTGAGGATTTTAAAATGCGCTTATTTAGAAAATAAGGTATTTAGCAGAATGTACAGTCATTCAGGAAATTAGAATACCCTTTTGATATTTGGTAAGTCATATGGGTCTGGCAAGATGCTAATAAGCTTCAGGGATATAAAAACAGTGAACAAGTGTGGACTCAGGGCTGGCATTCTGGTTACAGTGTAGTGATTGTGGCTGCTAACATTTCTTCTGGAAAGTCACTGAACTTAGAGATGAACAAGAGTATTTCTCATCTGTGCCCAGGCCCAGCCCGTGCACCGCAGCCTCCAGCACAGCCAGTTCTCTATCCCACGGCTTTAACTCTGTGATCTGGTCTTCAGCTTTCTAAGGAGCATATGTGCACAAAAGGCTACAAAGAACTTTTTCTTTTGGTATCAGCCACTCCTTGAGGGCCTACTCTGTGCCAAGTATTAGGATATGGTGGCGAACTAAAATCTTTCAATTAAACAATACCAACTCAGACCAAACTAAAAATCTGAATTTCAAAAGTAGTTATTGCAGTCTACCCTCAGTATCTGTGAGGTATTCATTCCAGGAACCCCACAGGTATCAAAATATACAGACGCCCAAATCCCTGATGTAAAATTGTTGTATTTGCCTGTAATCTATGCACATTGTCCCATACACCCTATATCACTTTTAGATTACTTATAATACCGAGCACGATGGAAATAGTATGTAAGTAGTCACCGTTTCTGTGTTTAGGGAATAATGACAAGGAAAATCTGTGCATAATCAGTACAGACACCACCACTCATTTCTTCCCTAAATACTTCCAGTCCACCATTTGTTGAGTCCGTGGGTGCAGAGCCTACAGGTGAGGTCCACTGTATACGGTAAAAACGCACTCGGAGGTTTCCTTTAATTAGCTCTGCAGCATGTCGGCACTTGTCATGAAGTTTTATCACATGTTTTTGTGGAATAATCTGTATGGTGAAGTCACACAATTGCTGAGGGACCAGATTCAGCGAGGCCTGTCTAGTCTTGCCTAGTCCTGCCATGTAATGAGCTGAAGACAGATATATTCAGGACAGCACAAAGGGACTGTTCTCTGGTGGCTCGTTAGGACTGCCTGGGTGGAGGCCGTCTTTTCCAAGCTGCCTCGCCTTTGAACAAGATAGGGGAACTGTCCACAGGTGCCAAGACCCCAGGACACCACCCTGCGGAGTGGATACAGCTAATGACACACAGCACAGTTGCCAAGATACCCTCACATCCTTCTGTCCTTCAGTGTCTCCCAAGAGTGCCACTCCCTCTAGATTAAGGGGATGGATGGAGTCCCGTTGGGTGTTAGGAGGCCACCTCACCCCCTAAACCGGTGTGCCCGTGAGGGCAAGTGCCTGGGCACTGCTGCGCCGCACCTTTCTTTGGGGGCGTTTACTGAGATAAAAGGTGGCACCTTGGGATACTGCCCAAGGCTCCCCTTGTGAGGCTGGGGGTTGCTCCGGCGGCGGCGGCCTTTGGCCCCGAAGGTTCTTACGCGGAA